AAGAATCATAGGACTACTATGACCAAAAAACCCTCCATGGATATCATATTTCAAGAAATGATTAAAGAAAATTGGCAGGCATATTAGAATAATATATGAAAATAGAAAGAAACCACTAATTATCTTCTAAAAGAAACACCAAAATGAAAACTCCCAGGAATTTTATTGCTCAAATCCAGAGCTTCCAGACAAAAGAAAAAATACTGCAAGCAGCCAGAAAGAAAGAATTCAGATATTAAAGAACCACAGTCAAGATCACACAAGATTTTGTAGCTATCCCTGTAAAGGAGCAGAGAACATGGAGTACGAGTGCCTTTCCCAAAGGCAAAAGGCAAAAAGACAAAGGTCTACAACCAAGAATAATTTACCCAATGAAGTAGTCCTACAAGGAAAAAATAGTGAAATAGAGGACTTTCAAATATTCCTGATGAAAAAATGATGAAAAGGAACACATTGAAGTATAAACAAAAGAGTTAAGAGAAAAATAAAAATAAGAAGATATCACAAGTGAACAATCAGAAAGGACTTTATAAGAATGAACTATTTGCATTCTAATTTGGGGGGACTTTAAATGGGTTCTTTTGGAATCCTAATATCACAAGGGGATCATATATATCATAGAGGTGGCCAATTGAATCAGAAGACCTATAAATATTTTTGTTATGTTTTGAAGATGCTATAATAAAAAAAATTAAATGAGGGGAGGATACAGTGAAAAAATGAGAAAAAAGATGGAGTAACTTATTAACACCTAATTTATAATGAATTGCACAAACAAAACTACATATGAACATGGAAGGAATTGAGGGAACAGGCATCACTTGAACTTTACTTTCATATAAACAGGTCAAAAGAGGACAGAACACTCAAAAAGTTTACTTTAGAAAGATGTTCATTCAACAGAGCTATAGGGATACAGATAGGAACAAAAAGAGGTAAAAAAGAGTAGAAGAGAGAAGAAAGATTCAGGGAGAGATTAGTCAAAAGCATAACAGACAACATGATAAAATGAATTGATTTCAGTACTTTACATACATGTTCCAAATAGCATAGCTTCTAAATACTGAAAGAAAAATTAATTATAAGGAGAAACAGTAAAACTATATTGGGGACCTAACTGTATCCCTATTAGCCCTAAAAAATCTAATCAAAAGTAAACAAGAAAGAATTTAAAGGCTTAAATAAGATTTTAGAAAAAATATATTTTATAGACCTCAGGAAAAAAGTATAACATACATATTCTTAGCTATGTGTGGCACCTTTTCAAAAATTGATATGTTAGGACGTAAAAACCTTCCAAATGCAGAAAAGCAGAAATGTTATACACATCCTTTACTGACCACAATGCAATAAAAACTATGTTAAATAAAGGGCCACTGAAGAAACAATTAAAATTAATTAGAGATTAAATAACTTACTATTAAAGAATGAGTGAGTTGAAGAACTAATCGTAGGAACAATTTCATTAAAAATAATGAAGTCTATGAGACAACATACAGAAAGTTTGAGGATGAAAAAGAGAAAAATTTATTATATCTTCTTATGTTAAGAATATAATGTAATATATTAATATTTGACATATAACAATACTATATATAATAATATTAAAATATTATATTAAGAGAAAGAACAGGTCAGTGAATTGGGAATATAACTAAAAATGTTAGAAAACTAATAAATTAAAAAACCTCAAAATAGAAATCCTGAAAATCAAAGAAGAGATTAACAAAAAAAAAATCCATAGATAAAACTAGGAGTTTAAAAAAACAATAAAATTGATAAATTAGCTAATTTAATTAAAAAGAGGAAAACCAAATTACCAGTATCAAAAATGAAAAAGGAGAATTCACAACAAATGAAGAAAAATAAAAGGTATTAGAAACTCTTTTGCCCAAATATATGCTAATAAAACCAATAACTTAATGAAGTAATAAAACTTGTCAGTTATATAAAATGCACAAATTAACAGTACACAAAATAGAAAATTGAACCCAGTTTTAGAGGAAGAAAATGAACAAGTCACAAATGAACTTCCAAAAAAGATCTCCAAGACCAGATGGATTCACAAGTGAATTATATCGAACATTCAAGGAATAATTTCAATATTACACATGCTGTTTGCAAAAAAAAGAGATAATGTCAAATTCCTTTATGACACAGATGCAATCTTGATACATAAAACAGGGACAGTCAAAACTGACTACCAATTTTCCTAATGAATATATATGTAAAAATTTAAAATAAAATATTATCAAGGAGGCTAACACAACGTATCACAAAAATTATACACCATAACCAGGAATGCAGAGATGGTTTAATATTAGGAAAACTATAGACTTAGCTATATTAGTGACAAAAATAAATAGGAGTCATATGATTGTATCAATAGATAAAGAAATAGTTTTTAATAAAATTCAGCTTCAATGTTTTCTAGTTAGTCCTGCTGGACTGCAGAACAGGCAGAGGTTTTTCAACTTTTAATATAAACTTCAATTCCAGATTTTGACTGGTGTGTTTTGGGTTACTAAAAGAAATTGAATGAAGCTTCTGAATGTATTTAGGTCTGAGAAAGCCCCCTGGGTGTGTTAAGCTGGCCACTTGTATTTTGCTGACTTTAGGAAGCCCTCACTTGTGCCTTTCTTATTCAACTTGATACTGTTTTCCATTTCTTTGACAAATACCAAACCTGCCGGACCAAATAACAAATGTGATTGGGAGCGACCTCAGAGCCATTTCCACTAATTTGAAGATGTTCCCCAGATTCACTCAGCAAAAAGGAAGGAGTTTGAGGAGTAGAGAAATACAGGCCAGGATGGGAGACAAAGACCTTTCTACTTTACAACAAAAAAGTGACCTCCCTGATTTATTCCTGCTTAGCAAAACTGATTTTGAATTCTTTTTAAAGTTCAATATGTACCAATCTAACACATTTGAACTAAGGGTGGGTAGGTGGGAAGGGGGAGATGTCACAGGATCATAATCAAAGGGAGGCAGGAAGGTTCCTGGAAAGAGCAGTGTAGTCAGTGTCATGAGATCTGGGTTCTGGTCACAACTTTCCATATTGTAAACATCTGTAAAAAGAAGAGATTGAACTAGTTGGTCTCAGAGGGCTCTTCTAGATCTAAGATTACAGCAATGACTCTAAAATTAGGCTAACAGCGTCTCCATAAAGGTTTAGAGTCAATTACCTCAGAGTTTTAACAAATGATAATAAAATACATTGCCCTTAGAAATGCTTAAAAACAATTGATTTGATGATATGGCCAAGCATATCATCTAGGGAGGCTGCAAGAGAGGAAGGCCAGAGGAGGGCTCTGTGCTGTGCTCGTTTCCTGTTGGCTATAAGGCATCCTTCCTGGGATAGGCTTTTGTGCTGCTGTGATATGGGGGCCCCAGTTATGGCAACAGAGGTTCTTGGTTGTGGTGGAGAGAGTGTTGGCAGGACTAGGTAGCGGCTCTGGGACTCTTCTCTCAGGAGGCTTAATTCCTTTTCTCCTGTTCCTACGCAGCACTTTGTTAAGAAGTTGTTGTGTCTGTTTAATAGTTTGGGGTAGATTTTATTTTTTCTTTGTTTTTTTTCTTCTGTTCCTTAACCTCTTCTCTTCATACCTTTCTCTTTATATCTCTATATTCTTACTCTTTTACCCTGTTATAAGGAAATTGCTTTTCTTTGTCTTCCTAGCATAACTTTTATAAAACTTCCATATGTTCATGATAACTTTGGCCAATATTCCCTAGAACAGAAATGTGAAACATGAAGCTTACCACACTCATGAATGTGGCCTGAATCACACTAAAGTGTAGTTCTTGGATTTTATGAAAAATGAAATGTATAAACATGTATGGTTTTCTAAGTCAATATGTGACCTGTGAGGTTCCTTTTGTCCTTATGTTCCTTATGGTTTAGTGGCCCCTATTTCTATTTGAGTTTGATATCACTGCTGTGGAATCCCTTGCACAAAAAGTTTCCTGCCCTCCATCAATTTAAGAATTAAGGTTACATGAGCATAGAAAAAAAATTGTTGTTTTGAATAGTCACCAGGTGTTTATTGTGTTACGCTGCATGCTACATAAGGTACTATACTATTGTGGGAATTGTAAAAGAAATATAACTTGGATTCTGCATTTAAGAACTTTACAGTCTAGGGAGATGACATGTTACATGCAAAGATAACAAATGAGATAAAACTGTATATAATAAGCATCAAATAAATTGGGAAAGATATTGAATACTTTAAAAACTAGAAAGGGGAAAAAAATCAGAGATGGCCTTATAGAGGAAGCAGAATATGAGCTGAACTGGAAGGATAGGCCAGGATTTAGACAGGCAGAAAAAAGAAGAGGCCATTCTAGAAGGGGAGAATGGCCTGGATAACAGGAGGCAATGACTAGGCAAAATCCAATTTAGCTGAAATAGAAAATGTGTACATAGAAGTACTAGGAAATAGATATTACTGGAAAGGTGGGTCCTGACCAGATTATTGAGCCTGGAATGACAGGCAAAAGAGTTTGGGCTTGCTCTTAGAGGCAGCAGGGAGTCTTTGAGAATTTTTAACCATGTTGAAAGTGGCGTTATAGGAAGATTAGTTTGGGGGATGACATTTGTGGTAAAGCCTGAACCATACAGAGCAGGAATAAAAGGACAGCTCCACGTTTTTCCTGTTGCACTGCATCACTGTCCTTGAGCATCCAAAAGTGGGGACACTGAGGCTACATGATATCAAAACCGGACACTGAGTTACACAGAATACTAGGACTTGATTTAGTCTGACCATGAGGCAGTTATTATCTTGACATTCCACTGTGGCAGCTAGGGAAGGGAAAATAGAGAATGGTAGCTAATATCTAACTACCCAGCTGCTTCTGCTTGCTGTCTAGTAGTTTGACTTGTTATAAATATGTAGATAATAGAGTTCAGCAACAAAGGCAAATTCAGGTGGGTTGAAGTGAACTCACTGAAGTAGACAGAAAGCTAATTCCAGTTCTGTCTGGTTCCACAGAAACTCCACCCTCACAGCTCTTTCCAGCAGGAGGCAGCGCCAGCCAACTCAGCCTGTGAAACTCAGCATAGAAGCTTTACATCATCAGGACAAACTCTCATTGGATGATCAAACCCAAGGGCAGGACTCTGCTTCTAACAACTTGACCTTTTCTTGGGTATCCTCCACTTGAGTATCCTCCATTTCACAGTAACTTCACCTCAATGTGGAGGACTAAGATGGTGGCCTCGATGGCATGCAGGGCTGTCCCAAGAGAGGGCCTCCAAGGGAGTATGCGGATTGGTACCTGATTGTCCACAACAGAGGAGACCTAGAGGAAACTCCATGGAGCTCTTCCTGATGAGGAAGAAATGAATAAAATCTCATCTGTCCTTCCTCATTCCCTGTAATACCTCTTTCTCCCTTGGAAGGGCAGGAAATGGCTAGAGGGGCTTTATAATCCAGAGTAGAGTTAGCTTCTAGGAAGCCTCCCATTTTCAGAAGGCCTGGACTTAGGTTTATGGAAAAAATGTTGTAACCATTGAAGACTGTAGGCTCAGGAATGAGAGAGTTAGGTTTCTGGATGGGAAGAGATTAAGAGATATCTCTCCCAGTTCCCATCAGTACAATCAGCAGATGGGCCAAAAGGGTTTTTGGATTTTTCCTTGAACCTTCCATACTGTGCCAAAGAATATGGTTAGTGCCGTGGGAGGTAGGAAGTATGCTGAGTTATGTAGTTCAAGCACATTTAGGTTCTCTGTACTGAGCCAACAAGTTTAATATGTTCGTATCCAAGAGAGTGTGACATATCCTCAGGCCTTAGCAGAAAGTTATTTTTTTTCTCGCTGCTTTAAAGGTGTTTTTTGAAGCAATAAACTCAAGTTATCCCATTGTGCTTAAAGTGAATTTTAGAGAAAAAAACAAATGGCAGCATTTGTAGAGTAGTTGAGGTCAGGAGATACATTTGGGGAACTCTTTGTTTGCTTCCTGTTGAATTAAGAGGTGGGCTTATCTTTAGCACTGCACGGATAGTTAGATGCCCTGCTCTAGACCTTAGTTTTTAACATTTGAGTTTGAAGGATGACTTACCATATAGGTGTATTTTAAGAAGAGTATTTTTCCAAAATGGCCCCTGCCACCTCGCCTGCTGCTGTCATTTATCTTATTCAAAATGGTAATGAAAGCTGGGGGAGCTATTTATTGTTTGTATCTCACCCGAATTATCCGAGCAGATCTCAGAGGGAAGCTAGAGAGAAAATCTTTATGAGTCTCAGGGACTCAAGCACACAAACCATCTGACTAGGGTCATAAAGCCATCCCATTACATTATCCCTGGCCCACTTTGTATGATGCAGCACAACACTGGAACTGTGTTGTCCATTCTTTTGTGGAATTCTACTTAGCTTATTGCCTGATTTATTTTTAAACTCTAGTCTGCTTTGTCCATATGAATTTGTGTAACGGGTATATCAGTTGGAACCCCAGTCACAGTGGAGAAAAGATTGACCCCCTAGGAAACAGCAAAGTGAATTGTACTAAGGATCTTGCTCTGTCGTTACCTGGGGGGCTAGGGCCAGAGGCAAGGTGGATCAATTGGATCAGGAAAGAGATTGAGGCCAGCTCAGCCAATGACCAGCCATTCAGGGTTAATGCTTAGCTGCCCCAGGTGAATGACAGGTTGAACAGCTGGAACCTCTAAAGATGTATTGCCAGGATCTGCACAGACAGTAAGATGCCCTTTGATTTCATTTGATTCTGCTTAGAAATGACATTAAAGGGAGTGAGAGAGTGAGACACAGGAGAATTACATTTCTGGGAAAGCAGCGAGCAGGCTGCCTCACCATGACTCTTCCTCGATTCTCAGTGGAGGTGTCCTGGGCATTCTTCATGAGCGTCAAGCATAGGGCTTGGTCAGTGAGAGAAGTAAGGGAGAATATTCCAGGACCTCTAGATTTGGTGTTCTCATTCCCTGCCAGTTGGATAAGAGCATCATAGATTAAAAATGGGAAGGCATCTTGGAGGCCAGTGCAATTCTAGTGTGACTCCCTCATTTGTCAGATGAGGTGCATGGAGCCCAGTGAGTCTAAGTGACTGCCCAGAAGTCAAATGGGGAAGAAGTAGCAGAGGTGAAATTTGAACTTGAGTCTTCTCCAAATCCATTGCTTATTCCACTGTCCCATGCTGGGTGACCAGAGGGGACACAGAGGCTTCCTGCTAAAGTAGATGTTTAGTTGTTAAGGCCAAGCAGTCATTTCTATCAGAGCCTCAATTTACTTGCTGTTGACAATGGTGAGCTACAGGGACCATCATTATTCTCTCTCAAAAATCAATGAACCAATTAATCTTGCTTAATTTGCTGTGGAGGAGGAAGTATGACCTGGTATCCTTTGCTGTTCATCATCTCAGTCTATCACAAGTGTCCATACATGATATGTAATGTATCGAAATGGATTGCATTTAAAATTCATCATTATAACAGAGTCAACCCTCTCTCTTCTCCATTAATCATTTAAAGGCTCCATAGTGGCTTCTTTACTAGTTGGCCAATTGTCTTAGTTTGGTGTCTTAAATCCCAGTAGTTAAGATGAAGAGAACGTAACAATTTATTGTTGAGAAGGTTATTTGTGCTATTTGAATACAAAGTGATTATTTTAGTCCCTGGCACTCTTATAAGCACTTTATCTTTATAAGGTTTTCATGTGTGACCAGATCCCAGGCTTTCACAATGTTACTTCTCCTGTAGACAGCACTGACTGGGTTATTTGTTGTTCTGTGTTTGCTCTGATCTGGGTATAGGGAGAACGTTTAACTTGTGTTTTATGATATAATTTATTTGTTTGTGTCTTTGTGGGTGTTTTTAAAAAAAGTCCTGCCATCAGAGTTCCTATGGCACATATGCATAGAGGTGGTAGCGCCTAGAGGGCTGGCCTGGCCCTTGGAGTGAAGAACACCTGGGTTCCAGTCCTGCCTCTGACACATGCTGGCTTTGGAACCTTGGGAAAGTCTTTACTTTCTCAGTGCCTCAGACAGCCCTCTAAGGCTGTGAGTTTCAGAGTGGGTGCTGATCTGCATTAGCAAAGGGACTTTGCTCACCTGGAAACCCCTACACCAATGAAGTCACAAGCCTGGACCTTTAAAAAAAATATTCTTCAGCAGAAACGAAGGATGTGATTTGTGGTAAATAAATCAGGACTCTTTATTCTGAAAGGACAATCACAGAGAACAGATTGATTAATTAATCAACAGATATTTTATGAGCCCATGAAGGGAATGGAGGAGAAACTTCTTCAAGATTCACCAAATACTGGGACATAAGAAGGGAAAAACCTCCCTTGAAGCTTGAAATAAATGAAGTTAGGAAAAATAAAAGAAAGAGTAATCTAGAAGTCCTAATTCCAAGGAGTAATACAAGTTCAAAATAAAAATAACTTTTGAAAAAGTTGGGAGAAATTTGTGGATGACAGCTCCATAGTGGGATCTTAAAGAACATTGGAATGTTTGAGGTTGCTGTTACAGAAGACAAGCATGCCCTTCTCTCTGTTTCTCTATAGGAAAGAGAGCCCTGGACTAGATGGGCAGGATTCTGATACTCAGATATTGTTTTGAAGTAGAAGAAAAATTGGTTCTCACTTTCATGTGTGTATGGCACTTAGCAGAAATCTCATAAAGAGGCCTTTTAAGTAGAGCCTTGCTCAATGTGATAGAAGGTCCTCTGCTCTGCCCATTCTTTGTGCTTAGATTTTTCGTCAGGCATGGTTACCACTAGAATTCTCAGAAGTATTGCTAAATGACCAAGCAAATGTCAATTTAATCAAGCTGAATTTCAGATTTCCATCTAAGGAAGCAGAAATGTTTTCCTAAAAAGCATTAAGTGCCGCTGACATTCTCCTCTAGGGTTGCAGACAGAAAGTAAGGAGCTAGAAGTATCTAAAGGCCTAAATTCTTTTGTTCTGCCAAACTCAGCTCCTTTCTGGACTGCTCCAGCTTCACTCCTTTCCCATCTCAGTGCATAGAGAAGAAGATTGAGTTTTTGGAATTTGGGGTCAATTACGGATTAGTTTGGTAGAGATTGTTGATCCTGCCCTCAATTGCAGATGTCTTGCTGCTTTCTTTGCAGTTCTAGAAAAAGAAACCTCTTCTTTTCCCCAGCCCTGTCCTTAGTTCCTCTTCCATCACTTTTCCATGTTCAATGGAAGTTCTAGCTCCTAAAACATTCCTGTAGATCTAGAACTCCTAAATTGGTGGAGTGTAGGGCAGGAGTCTTCAGATGGCTCATCTCAAAACACACCTGGATATTTTGAGGCAGTAGCCACAACCTTTCCATCCTCCTAATCCCCTACAGGCATTTCTGCTGTTGGGGTTGGGGTACAGCCAAAAGCCACCCCTGCAGTCTCTCCCTATGATTTTTGGGGAGTTCCTCATATCCTTATAGATTTCTGTAAGCATTTCCTTGCTATTCCTTACTTATTATTATTATTATTATTCCTTACTAGTGACCCTGAGGCTTTGGGAAAATAAAAATTAGCTCCTTTCCACAAAAATTTAGAGACCCTTCCTCTAGGATAGAATTTGGTCCAGTTTCTTCATCCAGATCATCAGCAACAAATATTTGAGGATTTCTCAGCATAGTTATATATGTGCTATAAAGACTCTTAGAGGATAGACTAGACTCAAGCTCTCTGACATTCTTTAAAAAACTCAACAAATAACATTCCAGTGTTGACATGGGTACAGGAAGATTTGTCAGGGGGCAGGGAGTAAACCACACAAATAATTCTGTAGCCTTAGTGTGTATCCATAACCTATCTGTGTACATTAATACTCTGCAAAACAGGTTGCCCTGACCAGCAATATGCAATTGACATTATTAATACAGTATTACTAAATGCCACTATATAATCACTAAACACGGCTGTAACATTATTTGAATTATCACCCCTTTAAAGTATTGTTCCTATGGAACTAATTGTAATATTATTTCATTTAACGTGATTTTCTTTTTCTGAAGTAAGTTTGTTTTATTTTGTGATACTCAGGGAATAACTGAATAAAGTTCTCTTTTTTATTATTCTAAACTGAATAACCATCAACAAAAACAAACATTCAAATAAAATTGAACCCCGGATTGTAAACTTTTGAATTTATGCACATTTCATATGTATAAAAGATAACTTTACGCACTGCCTCCCCCTAATGACAATCAGCCTTTGGACAACAGTTGAGCAGTCCTGAACTGATGAGATCACTAAATAGTTAACTCAGAGCTTTTGATCCTAGGGCTCTTTCCTCCCGTTTCCTTTCTTCCTTTTCAAGACACTATTGTGCATGCTGTTCTTCCCTTCTCTCTCAATCCTTTTCTTCTTTCACTAATCACAGCTCAATAATTCTTATGTTAATTTCTCTGTCTCATACACACATACACATTATGTCTGTATGTCTTCTCCTTCACCCCCATCTCTTCTACCTCTTGTTGAGGAAAATCTTTCTTGAACAATCTTTCTCTTCCTTTGTTCCATTTGTGATCCTTCTTCCTCCAGACCACCCCAATTCTTTTTTTTTTTAATTAGGCAGTGGGGTTAAGTGACTTGCCCAGGGTCACACAGCTAGTAAGTATCAAGTGTCTGAGGCCGGATTTGAACTCAGGTCCTCCTGACCTCAGGGCTGGTGCTCTATCCACTGTGCTACCTAGCTTCCCCCCACCCCAATTCTGACTGATAAATGGATGGTGTTAGATGCTTATGTCAAGGAAAAGCAAAGTCATCCATTTTGTGGGTAAAATTAGATGTTCAGTTAATTCAGCAAACATTAAGTATGTACTAAAGGTGTTCAGTGTTAGGAATGCAAAGATGAAACATTATATATAGACTTTGTCCTTGAGCAGCTTCCAGCTGAGCAGAGAAATAAGATATGGATGCAACTATAATAAAGGCAGAATACATTAAGTGTGTTTTAGAAAATTGTGTTGTCCACAAACAAGTAAAAGAAGGAAATTTGAGGAGGAAAGAGAATATGAACAGTCACTAGATTGGATCAGGGACACTTCAGGGAAGAGGTGGCACCTGAGTGGATTCTCAAAGGAAGATAGGGATTCCAAAAGACCGAGCTAAGAAAGCAGTCCTTTGCAGATATGGGGTGTGGCCTATGGGAAGTTTGGCTGGAGTGAAAGGAAATGATATGAAATAAAGGTAGAAAGGTAGTCTGGAGTTAGATTGGGGGTGGGGTGGCTTACATGATATAAGAGGGTCTTTTGTGTCCCAGAAGCAATAGAGACACTGGAGGTTTGGGAGCATAGAAGAATAACATAGCCAGACTGGTGCCTGAGGAAGATTGCTTTGGCAACTATGAGAAGGCTGGATTGGAGAAAGGAGAGACTAGAAACAAGAAGACCAATTAGAAGACTGTTCTAGGATTTCAGTGAGAGGGGTAGAAGGTCTGAAGTACGGTGGCGATCCTGTGAATGGAGAGTAAGGGTATAAATCTGAGAGATGTGGAGAGAAAGTTGATTATATTTGGCAAACCAACTGCATCTGCAAGTAAGCTGAGGTCAAAGATGACACTCCAAGGTTATGAAACCTGGGTGATTGGAAGGATACCTTTAACAGAAACAGGGAAGTTTGGAGGAGTAGCAGATTTAGATAAGATAGTTGGTTCTGTCACATGATTGTGGGATGGTGACAAAGCATCTAGGTGGCCATTGCAAGTTGGTGATATGGGACTTGATTTCAAGAGAGAGATTGGAACTGGAGTTAAGATTTGAGAGATGGTAATTAAACCCCATAGAAGCTTGATGTGATTATCAAAGGAGAGAATATACTGACCAAAGGGCTCAGGACAGATCCTTGGGGGATACCCATACTTAGGGAAATGGCAGCAAAAGTCTAAGAAGGAATAGTTAAAACAAGTAGGAGGTATGCCAGGAGAAAGCACTGTCTAGGAGATCAATAATATCCAAAAAGTGAGGAGAAGTCAAGAAGGATAAAGACTAGGAAAAGGCCATCAGAGACCTCTGATAACCTTGGAAAGAATAGTTTCAATTAAGTGATGATGTTGGGACCCAGAATTGCCAGGGGTTAAGAAGTAGATGGTGAAGAAGTATAAACAGTGACTATAGCTGATTCTAGGTGTTTAGTAATGGAAGAAAAGATATCAGATGGAAGGATGAGAGAGACCTGGGCATGTTTTTAGGTAGTAAGGAAGAAGCCGGTAGTTAGGGAGAGATTAAAAATGAGAGAGAATTCGAATGATCCATGGGTCCAGCTTCTTGAGGAAATGGGGGTGGGGTGAGGGGAATCTGCTGAAAGATACAGATAGATGTATTGGCCTTGATAAGGAGAAAGGGAATAGCCAAATAGTCATCTTCTTCAAAGACTGGAGCAAAGAAAGACATATAGGTGAAGATATAGAAAGAATTTGAACTATGGGGTAGTGGTGATATAAGAGAGCTTGATTTTCTGTGGAAAAGTATGTTCCAAATTTCAAATAACTAACACAAACTTTTGGAATATAATTCGTTTCTAGGTTAGGGACTGACTTGTATAAATAGATGGATAATGTGTGTGTGTGAGTGTGTGTATTTAGGGCAAGTGAGTACACAAGGCAAGTGAGTACTATGTCATAGTAATTGAAATTAAAGGACTTGGGAGGCCAGAATGTTTGAGTGAATATTTTTATCTATGTAGAAGTCCTGTAGGTTCAGAGCAGGGATTAGGATAGAGAGGAAATAATAAATTCCTTGAAAAAGAATGGCCAATAAAATTCTTTGTCAAGGGAGACTTCACAGAGGAAGTCAGATTTAGAGATTATGTAGTGCACTGCACACAGGAAAAACTAAATGGATGAAGAATGTTTATTGTTTAGAGTATTATATGCAGTTAGATGAACAACTTATAGAACTTGTCTATTAGGATATATCCCTCGGACAGTCACTGTAAAGGGACAATAAGTTAGGCCTAAAATTAGGTAAGAGAAGGAGAATGAGCTGGATTTCCTTTAAAAAATTGCAGAGCTCCTTTAATAACTTCTTCTTGAAAGGAAAGTCCATCTTTTTAATACCAATGTTTGATCATTATCGGAAAGATAAAGTATAGGGAGAGAAGAGGATACAGGACGACCTTAGAAGAGCACCCAAGATTAGGGAGTGGGACATAGATGATGATCCACGAAGGGATACTGATGTGGCATTGACAGACAGATAGGATATCATAAGAGAGCAGTATCACAAAAAAAATCTAGAGAAGAGCAAGTATCCAGAAGAAGGTGGTCAACAGTGTCAGATCCTACAGAGAGGATGAAGCAAGGAGGATGAGGACTGAGAAAAAGCCAGTGGATTTAACAAGAGATCATTGGCAACTTTGGAGAGAAGTTTCAGTTGAGTGACGAAGTCAGAAGTTGGATTGCAAAGGGCTGAGAAGTGAATGAGAGGAAAAAGAAGTGGTGGCAATGACTGTATGTAGTTTTTCTAGGAATTGGGCTGTGAAAAGGAGTAGAGATATATGATGTTAGCTTGAGGGGATGGTGTGGTCAGGTGAGGGGGCTTTAAGGATCGAGGAAAACTGAGAATATTTATAGGCAGAAGGAAGGAGCAAGTAGATAGGGAGAGATTGAAGATAAGAGGGAGAGGATAGGGATGGTCATGGGGACAATCCACTGGAGAAGTTGTGAGAGAGAATGGGATCAAGGATGCAAGTAGAGGGATTGGTCTTGGCAATGAGAAGGGCTGCCTATTCATCAGAGGCTAGAGTAAAAGTGGAGAGAATAGTGATGATTTTAAGGGATTCTGAGGTATATTAGAAGGGGAGAAGAGGGAGCTTATGGTGAATGGCCTCTTATTTTTTCAGTAAGGAAGAGATAAAATCCTCTTCTAAAAGGGTGGGGGAAGATATTGATGTGGAAGAATGGAGGAAAGAAGAGAATGTTTGGAACAGTTGTTGTGGAAAATATAATAGAGAATTAGGGAGGAGTAAAATAATTGTTTTATATCAGTGAGGGCCCAGTTGAGAAAACATAAGCTTATAGAAGACTCAGTCAGCCCAATGGCATGACTTCTTTCAGTTCCATTCAGTGACATATGAGTAGATGTGGAGAAAAAAGTTGGAGGAAATGATTTAGGGATGAGGTTTGGCAAGGTATGAGTGAGGATAGGACAAAGGGTTGAGGGATGTGAAAGAAGAGGATAGCATGAAGTTGAACTGGTTAATTAACTATGGGGTCACGATTGTGAAGGGAGGAAAGTAAAGCCAGAATAGAGAGAATGTTGGGCTTGGGAGAGTACTGAGGAGTGGAGAGATTAGGGGTCATGGTGAGGACAAATAATAGGTTTTGGAGGAGTAAAACATGGAGAGATGGAATGATGGAAGGTTATGGTAAGAAGAATTTCAAAATTCTTGATCATGGGAGTGAGACACTTATAGGTGATGGTGAGACCAATATTGTGACTATTCCTACATATGACTGAGGTAGAGTGAAAGAATATGTCATAGTGATTAAAATTAAAGGAGTTGGGAGGCCAGAGTGTTTGAATGAACATTTTTATCTATGTAGAAGTCCTATAGGTTTAGAGCAGGGTGTAGGATAGAGGGAAAATAACAAATTTCTTGAGAAAGAATGACCAGTGACTTAGAGGGCCATTAGATAACTGCCATCAGGGTCTGGATAGGGTGATGTATCTAGATAGGATGAACCTCAAAGGAGAAGATGTTGTTGACTAGTGGTGGCAGAGGGAGAACGTGGAAGTGGCATGAGGGGCAACTCCAGCAATCCTGCAGGAGTGGGAAGGGGCATGAGAAAAGGTGCTTCTGTTACCAGAAAGGATAAGCAGGGATGCAGTGTCTTCTGGGGAGAACCAGGTCCCTGTGACTTCCAGAAGATGGTAGGAACACAAGAGGAAGAGGTTTAAGATGAAGGGAAGTTTGTTAATGACAGAACGTTGTTGGGGGCACAATGAAAGAGGAAAGCAAAACTGGATTGGGATTTGGGAGGGGTAAGGCTGAGATGAATGGGAAGCGGTGATGAGAGAGGGAGTGGTGTTTATCATTGCACAGTGCTTTGCATGTAGTAAGTGCTTAATCCTGCTTTCTTTCATTCATTCCCCAATACCTTGTGGGGAGGTGGTGGG